TGCGTACCTCTCACAGGGGGGCCACTAGTTCCCGCCTACGAACCATCCCTGGTTATATTATTTATTTGCTGCCAAGCAAGCTCTCGATTATTCTGTGTTGTTCTTACGATGCTAATTGATGATCCGTCTCTCCACACCAGTGGGAAATACATCACATCAGCCCTATTTGTTTGGGCACTGCTCTGTGAAGTGCCGGGGTCTGTTCGCACCAGCACGGGAGCGACGCAGTACGTCATCGCTGCTTGGCTCATTTTTGTGCTCAACGTGAACGTGGCGATCAAGGGAATGCTATCTGCTGAAGCATTGGGGCCGTTAAATAGACCGTATCGTACACTTCAGGTACGAAAAGTGGCAAAGTAAATGATTAAGGGTGCTAAAAGTACAAGGTATATGTACGTCAGCCCAAGTCTCGCGTTACAGAGGGTTCGCGATATCTCCCGAAACACTGCTATGAGATCGTGAGGGTCGTTTTGTATCATATAATAATGACAGATCAAGTTCAAAGATCAGCATTCTTGCTCAAAAGAAGCCGCAAAGATATTTCTTTGACAAATATCTTTCTAAGAAGTCGTAAAAGAAGAGCCTAAAGGCGAAAGTCTCGTCCGTTTGGTACTATCTCGAACCGTTTGGGCGCTAAAGGGAGTTTCCTACACGGAAAACACTCCAAAACAAATTAATAATTTTCCTCAGATATTTGATGGTCCCCTTTGGTGTAACAAGCCTGAGACGTGGTCTGGCGTAGATATGGCAAGTAGTTACAAATGATCCAAATAGTTAGGTTTCGCCGCATCTGTGCAACACTGGCGAATATGTGGAGGACGGACAAACAAAGGCGAATTTGTGAAGGACGGACAAACAAGGCCGAATCTGTTTTGGACGGGCGAACAAGGGCGAATCCACTAAAACCAACTTATGAGATATTCAAGAAATGTACTTTGAAGGCCTCTCACAATTTGCATGTATGTGGTATCGGACTGGGAGGTGTCTCATTTTAAACTCTGCAAATTTCTAAACAGCTTTTGTAAAAGTGACATTTTGCTAACACACAGAGTTCGGAAGTTACAACGACGATTACAAAATGTTGACTATGAAGGACACCAAAGTACCGCCAATGCAAATGTTTACTATTATTTGTACCGCAGTCATCGGAAATTAGTCCCTAAAGCCAGACCTGGAAAGCGCCCGCAGGGTAGGCATCAGTCTGCTACGCCACAATGGTATGTGAGGCGGGTTGCCTATTCCACCAATCTTGAAGACACATAGCATCTCCACCTGCACGCTTCTGTGACCTTTCCGGCCCTGCCCCGCCATTTTGAGGTTTTACAGATTGTCGGAGATGCTGGCCGGCTAACAAGGAGACTTAGGTAGGTGTAAATTCCCGATTCGGTTCAAACTCGGTGTATTTGCTTCTTAGCCATGTAGATGACGAACGCCGGTCGATTTTTGTGCTGAAGTCCACATCCCGGGGTACTTTATAGGAGCGTTTTATGGAAAAAGTCTCGAAATTCGACATAAACTGATGGAAGGCGTTTTTAAATCGAAAAATGGAAGAGGAACTACCCCCCCCCCCCCAAACCGCACATTCTGAGTTGGAATATTTCTTAATATTTTGTTTAACATGAAATTTTAATTATTACTTTTTTTGGGATCTGTAGGCCCCTATAGGGAGTTTTGACATATGAACTTCAGCACAAATTTTGACGCGCAATAGTCATCTATAGGGATAAGAAGCAAATATACCGAGTTTAAACGGAATCGGGGATTTACACCTACCTAAGTCTCCTTGAAAGACGACACTGCCCTACCCTTGCACTCTCGACGCGCTGCTGCCAACCTGCCGCTGCGCTGCCGAGCCGGTAGCGAAGGCAGATCCGCCTTTTTTGCTAGCCGTACTCGCGCGGCCGTCTATATCCGCTCTTGTTGCAAGCCGTACTCGCGCGGCCGTGCAGAGACGTCTTTTGGTTTTTCAATAAAACGATGAATTTAAGACTTCTTTTTTCGTGAGTGCGGTTGGAAAGAGGAGGCTCCACCGGTTTGTGATACTTTTACTCAATTTTTGCGATAACTGGTGTTTTGCGATTTCCATGCTAATGTGCATGATAACTCCAAAAAATGTGATAAAAGTATCACATTTTTGTGATAAAATCAATAAAACGTAATAAAATAATTTTTGTGATAATTTAATCACAATAATGTGATAATTTTATCACATTTTTTGGAGTTATCATGCCCTTTAGCGTGCGAATCGCAAAACACCAGTTATCACATGGTTTTGTGTTAATAGTATCGCAAAACCAGACTCAGTGCAAGTCTAAAAATCGCCAAAGTGTTGGTTACGCCCTTGTCCGTCCGTCCAAAACCGATTCGCCCTTGTTCGTCCGTCCAAAACAGATTCGCCTTTGTTCGTCCGTCCAAAACAGATTCGCCTTTGTTCGTCCGTCCAGAGCAGATTCTCCAGTGTTGCACGGATGCGTCGGTTTGCAGAGCATTGCTTTTGCAGGAACTTAAGAGTGTGCGCTAGTTGTACCCACTGGCGGGACTTGCTTTATAAAGAGCTAACAGACAGCCATTCATTTATTTATTTCTTGCAGGATCTGAGCAAAGGCGATCCTCATGTTGTTGTGGGAATACCCTCTCATTTATACAGTGACGCTCTTCACACTATGGGTTTTCCTCCCGAACGCCAGTTCCTCTGCGTGGGGTCAGAGCAAGAGCAGCGCTGTCAGGAGAGGTTTAACAGCGATCAGCATTTTGCCGTCGTGAAGGTACGATAATTTATCGCCAAATAAAAAGCTGGGATTGCGCCGAAGATAAGGTCTGGGTTGGTCAGGAGGCCACCGTGAAATTCCTTTTATTTCAAGCTAGGGTATTGCCACTAAAATTAGCGAAAAGATTGTTCTTTCGAGCGTTCTTTCAGTCTTTTCGCTGAGCTAAGCTCAGTCCAAGTCGCTGAGGGCTCAGGCGATGTCTCCGTCGTGAGTCTGTCTGTCTCTCTGAAGCGCGGTGTTGTGAAGAACGACTGCACCGATCCTGGAAAGCAGGTTATCCCAAACATTGATAATTTGTGCGATTACTGAATTTGATCTAACCGTCTGGATTTGTTTAGTTTGAAATATTCAATCGTTCAATCGTTGAAAATCGCGGTTTGTTGGTTGTATGTTGGTAGCACTGCACTCAAGTGGGCAAAGACCGCAAACGGCTCCTGCGCCACTTCACGACTTACTTACTTTCTCACGAGTGATTAAATTGTCGGAATATCACACCGAGTCTGATATTTTTAGTTTTAGAGTTGCGGAACTCGCTCTACGAAGTTCCGCGAGTGTCCGGTGAGAAGAAACAAAAGTGATATTTCGAATGGTTTACGTGTTTACTACATCAATTGGAGAGGGGGGAGGAGGGGGTAGTTGTTTGGGGGAAATGTGAAATGGTAACTATTGTTTCTGGTTCATCTCGACAAAAGAAAACGAAAATGTTTTATACAACAAGACGATTGGAATGGAAATGGAAGAGTTATTCCCCGCCAAATTTGAACTTTGGTCGATTTTGGCACTTTTTCTCGGTTGAGAGACCAATAAATTTGCCGTGTTGACTCTGATCAGCTTTGAGCATAAGATTTCCTTTCTAATTTTTATGTATGCTATCAAAATAAAATGTTCACTTGTAGAATGCTTGGAAGTCTTCCAACAGGAAATGTCAAAACGTTTATCAAACACAACTCATTTTCACCATAGTCACGGACTTGCAGGGGACTTGCAAGGGACTAAACAATATTAGAACCACTATCGCAAGTCAGGGTAGGATAAGCCAATCGAAATCAGAACGAGATATATATAATTTTCTTAAATAGCCTAGCTTTGGCTCTGGTCATATTATGTTTAATGATATTCAATAAAATAGTGAAATAATTGAAATAATATTCTACGTTACAATTTATTACAGAAGTTTCAATTAATTCACTTGTTTGAAACGGATCCTTCAAATGCCTCGGAGTTATACTTGTCGAAGGAGAGAAGTTTAAATGTATTTTGAAAGTAATTAAAATATCTGGGATTTCTTCACTTCAATCAGAGGCTTTGAATAGAATTTCACCAATTGGTTAGAATGAAATATGAGCATTTGGCATTACAGGAAAGGGTAAATTAAGTAGGTGGGGGGGGGGGGGCAGTGAGGATAGGGAGGGACAGAAGCACACATGTTTTGTGTGTGAACTGTAGTAACACATACATTCAAGCGCCCCCGCTCCCCCTCCAGCCCCTGCTACAGTTGTGTGTTTCCCAAAACAAATCAACAATGTATTTTAATGAATAGAAACCAGACTTCCCAGCGCTTCCCAGTATCAAGCCTTTCTAGTGTCAGATTTCTCGAGCTATGATTACCTCTTTAAATCCTGGTTTGATAGTGGACTTCCAAATCGACATAGTAATCTCAAGTTTACTACTCACTAAAAGTACCTGTTGT